CAGCCTCAATGACGCCAAACGTGCCAGCGCCCCAGACCTCGTCATCGACCATGCCACCAACGACGGCGACCCAACCGCCACGCACATACCCACAGCCAGCTCCTACAAATACCTAGGGGTCATTGTCACACCCACGCTAGGATGGCACCTCCAACGCAACAAGGTACTCGCCAAGGCGACGGCATGGACCACCCTCTTCCGACGACTCATCCGCACATCCAAAGGCCTACCAACAGAACTGGCTAGACGATTATACATAGCAGTAGCCCTACCAAAGATCACATATGCAGCAGATGTGTGGTACACCCCAGCCTATGCTCAAGGCGGCATAACAAAGGGAGGATCAGCTGGCCTCAACCATAAACTCAACGCAATCCAACGACAAGCCACGATAGCAATGTCCGGGGCCCTAAGGACAACGGCAGCTGACACCCTTGAAGCCCACCTCAACATCCCCCCTATCCATCTCTTTCTCCACCAACGATGCAGCCTAGCAGCCATGAGGCTATCCACGATCCCAGACGACCATCCGCTCCGCCCGCTGGTCAACAAAGCAGCACGATACCGCCTGGTCAAAAGACACCGTACCAACCTCCACGTCTTATTCTACCTCACCAGAATCATACCCAAGAAGATGGAAAGGATCCAACCGACCAGGAAGCCACCCAACTTCACCCCAAACATCACCACACGGATAGAGGCGAACAAAGAGGCAGCACTCAATTTCAACAGCAACATCGAGGCGAGAGGAGTCCGGGTCTACTCAGATGGATCAGGCTACCAAGGAAAAATAGGAGGAGCAGCAATCCTATATGTCAACGGACAGAGGCAACAGTCGGCACAATTACAGCTTGGACCTGACACCGAACACACCGTCTATGAGGGAGAAATTGTAGGAATCTTACTAGCGCTACACCTGCTCAAAAACTGCAAGGAGGCACACAAACAAAGCACACGTCTCAGCATCAGCCTCGACAACCAGTCCAGCATCATGGCGCTCACGAATCAGGAGCCCAAGCCCAGCCACGCCCTTCTGGATAGGGTGCATGACGCACTGGCAGTAATAAGCAAGCAGCTCAAAAAACGTATCCCATTCTACTGGGTCCCAGGCCACATGGACGCAAGAGGAAATGAGGAAGCAGATGAGCTTGCCAAGCAAGCAGCGCTCGGCAACAGCACGGAGAAACGAGAGTTACCTAGAGTGCTCAGAAAACCCATAGCAGTAAGCGCGTCGGCAACAAAACAGAGGCTA